CATTTTCACTATTAATCAACGTGGCCCACGTTAGATGACAATACAAATCATGTCCTATTTGTTGGGTGTGAAGTTTTCACCCCCCATCCCTGACATTTCTAGCATTAAGTGCAGTCACAATAATAGCTCTATAAGTGTATCAATCCCCACTATAAAACTTTCAAGACAATATAAGCAACAATGAGTCTCAACTATGGGAAGGGCATGAAGGCAGGCTGAGGACACTTTGAGGAAGTGAGGACAAGTGAAAGCCATATATCCTTTAACCTTGGTTAAGCCATTTCAGCTTCTAACACTAATCAAGGCTACTCAAGAATTTTCCAAACATACACTTTCTCTCTGTCCTGTGTACCTCAAGATGGTAAACCAAGCAGAAGAGAAATAGCCAAAAGCAGATAGATGAAGAAAAAAAGAAGTGGACAACCACCCACTAAATAATAGAGCTTCCTGGGCCAGGAATTACCTTGGCAAATCCTACCTTGGAAACTCCAATTCTTCAAGCGAGGCTGCCAACCATGTGCTGTAGTTGCCCACAAATAACAACCTCAGAGTGGAAATCCCAGCTGTACACATTTTACTCTCCCTACCAGTGCTTCGTTTTTTCCAAACTTTTTCTTCCCTCCGTGTGGTTTCCCAGATCAATTCATGTGCTTATTGGCATGTTATGAAACATGGAAACAATTAAAGACCACATTCTAGGGCACAAGAATGACTCCCTACAGAATCAATGAACTACGCAGAACTTAAGAGGATTTGGCAATAAAGATGGAAACTGTGTAATAAAACACACTTACAGTATCTCATATCACACAGTCCATTCTACAATGGCTCTAAATTCATCTGTGTGTTTCAGGCATCAATCATACTTTCCCTTCATAATCACCAGTTTTTAGCTTTATTTATTTCTATTTCCTTATATACTTGTATGAAACTCATAGGAAATACCCAACTTACACTTTTCTTTTCAGGGTCCATAACTGAACGTATGCACCATGCAGTCTTCTCAGTTAAGTCTGGGATTCTTTAAAGGCCACATTTAAGGGGGAGTAATGGCATTTCAAAATCAAAGAACCTAAGTTTTCAAAGGACCAACTTTAGTCCAAAGCCACACTCCACATTTATAAGGGCTCCTTTAGCCATGCAAATGCTAAGAATGGTTAGTTCTCTAAAAAGAGGCCAAACTTCTAACACATGTCAATGACTCCAGGAGTGAGCTGTTCTAACTCAGTAAACGTACAAGAAAGCCGATAAACCTCAGACCTGAGTGACAACTTGAGAGTGAGGTGAACCAGGCCTACGCAAAACAGAAAGCTTGAAAACAGAGATGGGTTCCAAAGGCAGAATTCCCTAGCATCATAAAATAAATAAGAAAGGGGAGGGGAAACACAAAACTGAACTAAAAGGAAATGTGGTGTCAACAATGTATTATCTTCATTGATAATTATCACTACATGTAACCCATGTCTAATATTACTCATGATTTTTATATTGGTTTGCTTTAAGATATGGGTGCAGTGAAAGTAGCACCCAGAGCATTCTATTTTGGTCTATTCCCAGACTGATTAACAAAGCAAGTGCAAAAGAATTCCATGGTCTGAGCTCCATTCTCCTCTTGACCAAAATGCATGGGTGTGTTACGCTGAGAACTGTGGGCAGAATTAACCATGCTTGGTGACTCTATGAGGTCAGTCAGGATTCACTGTTAATCACAGAGAGACAAACTCTTTTCATGTGGGTACAAAAATTGAATTATTTGGAGGCCAGCTTTTGGAGAAGCTAAAGTTGTGATAATAAAGCCTCTAATCTCTTTACCAAACAATAATAGTTGACACTCACTGAACCGCCTTACTACATCCCTGTCTTGGTCAATACCCATAATAACCCTTGTAATCCAAAAACAAGAAATGACACTTTGAGGGATAAAGTACCTTGCTCATTGTCATACAGCTAGTAAGGCTGGAGTTGGGATCTGAACTCAGACGTTTGACCACAAAGTGCCCCTACTTGGAACTATGTCACCGAGCTGCCCTTCTCTCTGATGCTGATGTCCCCATGTAGTTTTGTGTGATATCACGCTATCTTGCCTTCTCTTTTCTCCACTCCAAATCTACGGTCAACAGGTATTCTGGCATATTTCCCATTCACTAAAGTATTTACACACACACACACACATACACACATGCACACGCACGCACACTTTTTCCATATACCATGGGGATGAGTATTATTTCAAGAACTTGAGCCTTAATCTAAATAATGAAATTTCAAGCTTCAGCCCTTGGAGAGGTGATTTGTTTAAACTACCTGGACCACCTCCCTTTATGAGGGAACTACAGGCACTTTCCTAATTAGAGCCAGGCTAGTTCAAACGCCTGCTTTGACACTGGCTGCTGGGAATTGAGAATTCAGAGTCCCCCAGGTCAGCCCACAGAACCCACAACCTTCCTAAAGTATGGAGCTATAGATTTCAGTAACAACTAACCACTATGTATAACACTGTTTTTATAGTGAAATTCAATTCAAGTTCTTGTTTGAGAATCCAGGAATGCCTTCCTCTTTTTTCCTGCTACTTTAGGTGAAAAAGCAACTGGACAGGAAAGGGCTGAGGTGGGAATGAGGTGTGGGAGGAAGATGGAAAGGCAGATGAGATAATCTGAGGCTCCAGCGCTTTGTTAAATCTCTCCATGACATCTGGTCATTTACTCCCAAGTGCTCCAGACTGGGGAACAAAGGGCTTTCAGGCCTTGAGGTCAGATTGGTGATGACTGAGACTGTGCAACTGCCTATTGGCTTGTGCAGGTCATCGCAAGTCTGGGTACAGGCTGAACCACCACAGAATAAAAATCACAAGGCAGCATTTTAATTGGCCTCCTTAGGCCATTTAACAAAGGAGAAAGCTAACTTGCAAGAGCAAAGAGTAATTAATGAAGGGAGCAAACAGAGGTTCATTTAGTAACTTCCAAATAAGTTCCTCTGTCTGAGGTGGGGAGGGGAAGGTAGCCTGCAACAGAAAGATAAACGGTAGGTATTTAAGTCACAATGCCTTCTGCCAAGAATTGCTCATTACCATCAGATGTTGCAGTGGCAGTGGGGCCAGTTAGAACTAACTTTATTATTAGAAGCAATTAGGGAGAAAAGGGGCAGAATTTCATTTAGTTATTTCAAAACAAGTTTCTGTGCACAGTTTAATGAAGGCCTGCAGTGTCAAGATAAAATGTGTGTTTTACTGAAAACAGCTTTTGCAAATGACTGCTTGTTACCAGCAGGTATCTCCAGGCAGAACAGACTGGGTAGGTTGGATTTACATGCATGCCGTAATATAATAGTTCAGCTGTCTCAGCTTCACAGACGTGTTAACAGGCAGTACGGCCTCATGGTCAAACATGTGTGTTCTGGAGCCAGACTGTCTGTCTTCAATTCTTATCCCTGACTTTGGTAGCTGAATGACCTTGGGCGATCTTTTGTAATTTTGGGGGCCTTAGTTTACTCACAAGTAAACTGGAGATCACAGTAGTGTTTATCTTGAAGGGTTGTTGTGAAATATCAATGCACTTAATATGTTATACATTGTTACAGTTATTACCTATTCTATCCAAGGATCATTTGAAAGGGGAGTTGTTTTTAAAGAAACTACTTGCTATATACGGGTTCCCCCGAATACAAATCAATACTATTTTGGAATGGGGTACTAGTCCATTGGAATAGTACTTTGGAATTACCTCTTTGGAATGGGGTTTTCATGTAAAGTATGACAGATATTTGTCTTCACTGTCAGTGCCATTTTTATATACATTCACATTTCGGACAATATTTCAACATCTCTATAAAATTCAGATGTTTTGAAAAGATCTGATTGCTTTTTAGGTTTGCTAAACCAGGTGTGTACCACACCTTTTGATTTCCTACCTTTAAGGTAACAGTTGTGGCTTTTTAATATTTTTCTACATCTGAGCTTCTCCCTTATAAATCCCCTGGGCGGCATTTAACTCTTCCTTCATATACACACCTGGGCTAAAAGAAACTGCCATGTGTTGAGATTAGAAGAACAATTTAAAGAATCTCAACTGTCATACAGTAAATGGGGAATTGGTTTTTGGCTGCCCTCTAAACATCCTTTCTGAGACTACTGTGACCATAGTGAAAGAGACCTCTCACCTGTGGTTTCAAAGTTTGCCTTGCATATTCTCCCCTCTTCAGGGAGAGTGTGTGCTATCTTCAGTGAATTCTCAGAGATCCTTTCATTAAATCTCAAAGTTAAAGATTGATTTTCATCAGATGGCTACAATATGTACCCATGCACTCAGGAATATGGTACACGGCTTACCCATCATGTTTTAGTTTTCCAAATCAACAGCATTTAACTAATGTGCCATGCACCATAATATTGGACCCATATGATGAATAAAACTCCTTTCTCGGACTTCACCAAGCAATGAATCCATATTAAACCTATTCATTTTGGAGAAGTTTAAGTTAGCAAAATGCCCTTTATACATTTATGTGTTTTCTCAGCTGTGTATTAAGCCACATCATTCTTCTGGCTGCCCTGACTTAATTTATGCTAATGTGAATAATTCACGTAAGAGCCTCTTTTACAGAATTTTAGATCTTATATTGCAGATTATAAGAAAGAAAAAGTTGAAAATACTGGGAAGTACATCTTGGTGGGATTCTCCCAAAGCCTGCAGAGTCTTATTTAACGTGAGTTTTAGAAAGAGATTCGAGCTATTATTTATTTTCTCTAACCAAGTTGGCTATTAACTTGAATACTGCTTTTTTTTTTTGGCAATTGTATCGTAACATGGGAGAATATCTTTTTTGAAAAGACCCAGAAGAGTTTTAAAGAATGGTTTAATTAGGATTGTTGATGACCATTCTCAATTGTGTCTGTTACAAAGTTAAACTTAGGGAAGGGTTAGATTCTGAACAGAATAAAATATGTAATATAGGGACTCTGAAGAAAGATTTTTAAGAGGAAAGAATTGGATATTTATTCTTACCCTGGATCTTTCTTCTAGTTTTGTCATCATGACAACTGTGGCACTCCGTTGCTCCCATATCATTCTCCAAAAGTCCCCAAATGTTTCGGGGAGAGATCCCTGTGTTGCAATATAGGCATTTTGTTTCCTATAACCATCTATGTAGTTGGCATTCACATAGTCACTTCCTGGGATGCCTGTAAAACACGGAATGTTATTCAACCACGTGAACATGTCACAAAAGGAAACAGCCTGTGCCATGACATAACGGCAATTCAATATTATTGTTCCACGCCATGCTAGAGGAATCACAATACACTGAAGGTCGGGTTTTAAGCAAGATTGAAAAAAGATCCTATCAGGACCATCATGTTAAAAAAATGTACAAAAGAAGGTGTCCAGTCTTCATATTATGACAACATGTCAGGTCTTTACACTATGACAAAGAAAGAGTCCACAGAATGTCTTTTCTCTCACAGGCTGTTTTTTCTATTGCACCAGCAAAAAAATAGTTTGCAAGGGATGATAAACAATCTGGTAACAGTCCTCACTCATGTTCTTCCTCATTTCTAGAAAAAAACTAAATAAAAAATGCCTGAGCCTGAAAATGCAATATAGAGTGGAACATGTCATAACAGTGAAAAACCCTTTGCAGATTTAGATAACAGGAAACTTATATATAAACTCATGTAATCTTCACAACAACTCTACGAAGTAAGTCCTGTCATAATTATCATTTTTCAAAGGAGAAAACTGAGGTGAAAAGAGGTTCAGAAAATTTGGCCAAGTTGCCCAAGTTGGTAATTCAGGTTTAATCATAGGCTGCAGGTCTGCTAGGTCTATGTCTCAGCCTCTGTGGAGTACTGCTTCTCATTTTCAAGCTCAGGGATTGTTGTAAGTAGCACATGAATCTCTTCTTCGATTAGAACAACTGCCTCCTAATTGGTTGTCCCACTTCTACTTTTGTCTTCTCCAGTCTGTTCTCCATCTAGCACGAGAACAATTTTTAAAAATATGTTTCAGACATTGTGACTTCTCTTCCTCAGTGACTTCCCCTTATACTTCAAATAAAATCTAAACTCTCAACATTGCCTATAAAACTCTGCAATTCTCAGACTCATCTCATTCCACTCATCTCCTTGCCTTCTAAACTCTAGACATTAGCCTGCTTCAATTGTTAGAAAACATCTCTCTCCCACATCAGCACGATCTGCATCCTAGAACACTCTCTGTCTCCCTCCCATTGTGAAACACGGAGCCTCCTTCTCAGAAGGCCTGCCCTTGAGTACCTTGGGACCCCAAAACTCCCTTGACAACTCTTTACACTACTTATAACAGGTAATTATACATTTGTTTGTTAACTTACTTATTGCCTGTTTTGATCACAAGACCATGTCTCTTTTATTCACCTTTGCTAACTCTAGTGACCAAAAAAAGTGATTTGTCCCAGTTTCAACATTTAATAAATAGGAGCGATGTAATTTAATGCAGATACTTTGATTAAAAGTCTAATTTTCTTTCAGCAAAATGGCTTTAGGAGGTAGATAGGCAAATTTGAACTTATTCCAAGGAGCGTGGCTAGAGTGATTAAGGAAATCAAAGCAATTCCATATGAGAAAGAAATATACATTATAGCCTAGTAAAGGAAAATGTAGAAGTTGGGGATGAAAGCTGCCTTGAGTATCTGAAGAGTGGTTTAGATTTACTCTGTTGAGTCCCAAGCTTTCAACTCTGAAGGATGTAACTATGGAGAGATAAATTTCATCTCCAATATAATAAAGCATTTTCAAATAGTCTGAATCAAAAGGGAAATAGGTTTCCTTGGGAGGGAATCAGTTGCCTATCCCTAGAGGGGAACAAGCACTTTCATAGGGATAGCAGCATGATGTGGGAGGTAGCACTAGCACATATGCATGTCCCTGTTAGCCCTGGGAAAATGTGAGTCTTGGAATCATGGGGAAAAAAAAACAACTTTTTTTTCTCATAGTGGAACATATGTTCCCAAGCTAAAATTGTTATATTTCACTGATTGCCACTTGCAATTACTTTGACTGCTTTTCTGATTCCAGTTGTAAAGCTGATCCTCTCAAGAAAGGTAATGAAAGTCAGATGGAAACCACTGCGCTCTGAGATGAACACATGGATATGGAATACTACCAGCATTAGCTGAAAAGCCTTTTGAGCAAAAACTGAAATGCACGGTTGGTTGTAACATTATTCATCTATTACAGCTACTCAAGAAGCAGTTGGGGTTCTGGCAGCCTTTTGTTGATAAAGATCCTATTCCTCCCCAATACCAAATTACTGTAGATTGAAAGGACAATTTAAATAAAATCCTCAGATTACAACCACTGGGAAGTACGCACATCTTACATGTCCATAGGATTTGGTTCTGAGCCAAGAATGAATCCACTTTATAACACAGGAGAAGCCCACTTTCAAAATGTTTAATTCAGCAGTTTGTAACATTAAAGAATTGATAAAAAAAGATCCTGGCAAAGGGCCTCCCTCAGCTGCCAATATACAGAAAACTTTTTTCTCAGGAAAAATCAGAATGGAGAAATCTGGGTTAAATGACTCAGAAAATGCATCAACTGGGTACTGTGCCATTTTCCCCCTTATCAAGGATAACAAATGTGTCTGAACAATGCATCTGAGGAGAGAGAAGGTACATGTGAAAATCATCCTTAAAGGAAGGGAATCAGACCCATCCAACTCTCTTTGCGTAAATTTTAATAGATTATTATATAATGAATTGAGTTTTTTTGATGTACTGCTCAACTTTGAGTAATAAATTCTCTGG